GAGCCCCAAGGTCAATAACAGAAAGAAAAGTCCCATATATTAAAAAGGATTCATAGAAGGAAGGATTCTTTGGGGTAGCAAAGAAACCGGAAACAAAGTGGATACCCATCAACCGGGGAATGGCCGAACAAATTATGGTATATGAATGTAATTGAATACTACTATTCCAAGAATCAATGAATATAAGGAATTCAGAGAAACATATGAAGACCTGTATCAACTGACACAGTGAAGAAATCAGAATCATGAAAATGATAAGGACAACAAATTCTTCAACAATGTAAATGAAAACAAAACTAACATAGTTAAACTCAGGTAAATCACAAGGAACAATTGTGGTTCCAAAGAACTGAAGATAAAATATACATCCCTTTCTCTTGATAAAAGATGGAAAACTAAGAGTGAAGAACGTTATGTAGGATATCAGACATGGCTGTTTCCTTGGTTGGTTTTGCTTAACTGTGTTTGTTGAAGGGAGTGTTAGACAGGGTGGGTAAGAAATGACTGTTGGTTTAAAAAAGACATCAATAAAAATAGTAAAGAAAAAAACTATCACCAATGTGAATAACCATGTCGGTATTTTAGTAGTATTTTTCTTCTCAAGGCTCAAAAAACCCAAAGCAAATTTATTCTCAAAACATCACTGAAAGAAGGTGGCAGGCTTTAATAAGCATACAATTTAAAAAAATTCTTAGGATAAAAAAAAAATTTCCACTTTCTTATAATTATTCTCTTGTCGTGGGTTCATTGGTAGTACCTTAGCTCATATTGTCAAGCTCTCATAAGCCTTCCCATACCCTTTTCCCCTGATATAAACACTCAAAAAAGAATTTGATTTATAAGAACTTAGTTATCTATGTTTTTTCACAGTTGCGGGTATACTCTAATGCCACCCATAGAGCCAATGAAGTACAACATATAGACAGGCCCTTCCTAACTCTTAACAAGAAATAATTTAGGAGCAGCTAGGTGGTGCAGTGGATAGAGCACCAGTTGTGGATTCAGGAGGACCTGAGTTCAACTCTGGCCTCAGACACATAACACTTTCTAGCTGTGTGACCCTGGGCAAGTCACTTAACCCCATTGTCTAACCAAAAAAAAATTTAACTGTTATTTACCGCTTTTAATGGAGAGTTTTTCTTGGTTCCAATGGTATCTACAAACACCTTGCAATATCCTTCATGTAAACAAGAATCTGTTCATACTAAATAATATCCTAATTAAATGCAGCCAAAGACAGGCAGCAGGGCACACCCTCAAAAGTGATGCTTCCACTAATCATCGCTAATATGGTGACTGTCATTTATTCATGGGAGATGTGAGACACAAAAGCAGATCTCTCCACCTATCCCCATAGTACCCTTCGTCTGATCTGCTTCCAGGCCTTCCCATAAGAAGATGAGATTAGCTTTCTTGACCAGACAGACTGGCTGTTGATTTGCATGTAACAATAATGGGAATCTAATTGAATCCACCTAGGAGTCTCTTATTGTCTACATTCTAGAAGTTTAAACTCTGCTCCTGATAAAAACAACATATTTTGGGGGTGGGGAGAAAGGACCAAAGGAGAAAATGGCATTCTAAATCTTTTACCACCTCTCCATATGTGCTAAAATTCAGCAGAGTTTCGTTTCCATATATGTAGGTGTGCATTTTTTAAAATAGTTTATTCATTTTTATATCAGTCACCTGCGTTATCTGTGTCCAATATTCCATAGGGATGCTTCAAATACCCCTAAGCCACCTTTTATGACTCATTTTATTGCCACACACAAAAAAGGCACACCAAATGAATAGTAACAGAGCATGGAGAAGGCAAAGGCATACTGACATATGATGGTAACAAAGCAGGCATGAAGCTCAGAATTGGAACTCCAAAACTGTACTTTCCTACTAGACTTGTCAGGGTGGGGCATGTTTAAGTTAAGTCCCAAAGTGCCTGTAGGACCAGAGATAAGCAAGAAGAGCTGTTACAAGTATGACGGTTAAACAAAGGTAGTAAAAGCCTTCTATGTTACCACTTCAAATACTTTTCTAAAGTCAACCCTTTAGCTTTTGCCAGCATCAAATAATGGAGCAGAGGTCTTAATCTTTTTGTACATCATGTTCCTTTTGGGAGTCTGGTGAAGCCTATGGACCACTCCTCAGAATAATGTTTTTAAATAATTAAGAGAAACGCTAAATTTCAGTTAGAGGTTAGTAAAAAATAAAGATATAATTTTATTTTTCCATCCAAGTTCACAGATCCCTCTGAAATCCAGCCATGCGCCTATCAGGGGTCAGTGGACTTGAAGTCAAGAACCTCCATAACAAAAGCACTTGGCGGGGTAGAAAGTGAACTTGGTGACAGAGGCTCTAGGTGGGAATACTGACTCTGCTACTTCCTAACTGTATGATTTTGCGCAAAGCACTTAATCCGTCTGGGCCTCCATTTCCTCTTCTGTAAAACAAAGAATCTGAATTGAAATCACCTAGGTTCTACATTTATGACATGAGGAACAGATCACGTAACTTCTCATACTATATGCTACAACAAAGTGACCACGGTTGAGACTTCTATTTCTAAATCACTCACAGTAGCCCAGTAGATGGGTTTTGAATCTGCTACCTTCCATAATCTGTTTTTCAGGGGATGGGGTAAAGAAAAGGATTTTTCCCTGTCATAAATCTATGAAAATCTGGTGAATCATGATTGGCTATTTCTTCTTTTTCGTATTCCTGGCGACTGTTGATGTGCTTGAAGAACTTAAAAGCTATGTATAAGCACATAAGAAAAAGAGGTCAGAACCACAATAATGGCCTACGACCTAACTGAGAAAGGGCCAGACTGTGACTCTGACTTCTGTTTCTCTGCTCAGAAGTTTGAGAGTTATTTTCATTTCACAGTGTTTCAATTAATCAAGTATCCAACAAATCTACTATCCACTTTGCATTGTGGAAATGAAAAAAGTATGGCTCTGTCATTCACAAATGCATGTCATTTTTTTGTTGTCTATATTATTATACTATATATTATTAATAATGTATATTAGTATATATTAGTCAGGCAAGAACTCACTAAGAAGTTATTAAAACAATGGCTGAAGCTATAAAAAAATATCAACTGAGTACAGAACATAGGTGCAGAAGGTCTTGGAGATGGAAAAAAATATAATTTTAGTCATCAGAATTTCACATGAAGAGAGGAGAAATCCAGAAACAAGGTCTATCTCCGAAGGGAATGAACTGGGACCCAATTTGAGTTTGGCCATTTAGGACGTTTCCCTATCACTTACAGGGGTAAAGGAAAGCCCTGGGACAACTAGGGCGGAAACATCGAGAAAGCGTTTCCTTAAATAAATTGAACTATATGATTTAGGATCAGGTAGAAAAGTTTAGGTTTATAAATTTGTATGTAATTATGCTTTTTTTTTTCAGTGACAACAATACAAGGAAGGATAATTTGAACTAATTTTGGTTTCTGGACATCATATAGAATAATAATGCTCCACATATAATAAAAGTTGTATATTATACTAAAAACGCCTATCCTTAGGAGCAGCTAGGTGGTGCAGTGGATAAAAGCTCCAGCCTTGGAGTCAGGAGGACCTGAGTTTAAATGTGACCTCAAACACTTGACACTTACTAGCTGTGTGACCCTGGGAAAGTCACTTAACCCCAACTGCCATATCAAAAAAAAAGCAAAGAAAAGAAATTCTCCAAACAAATTTTATTTAAGGTCATTTTAATTTGAAAAACAAAACAAATAAAAATAAAACAAAACAAAACCATGCCAAATAGCACTTTCAGGAGGTGGGAAGAGTGTTAAGTAAAACATAACAATGATATAATGTCAACTCAAAAAAGTCTAGAAAGCACATATTAAATATTAAAAAGGATCTTCTTGAAGTGTCCTCTCTACAATTAAAAGGAGTATTAAGGTAATGGCATTCAAAATCTTTTTGCTGCTACAACACAATCTGCTGATTCTAATAAGCCTATCCATTTGTAGCCCAGAATATCCATGAGCATAACTGCATAAAGTAAGAGTTTATAGTGAAACAAAAATGTCCCAAAGAGGTCACTAAAGGTTGTACTCTTTCATTTCTAACCATGGCCCTGAGGACCTCGTTTCTTCTTTCATTTTGATTTCAGATACCTTTTCTGGAGTTTTATTTGGGGTGGTTTTTATAAGAATTTTCATCATATGGATTTGACTTTCCCTCCAGTGCTCAATGGAGCACTTCCGATTTTTATGATGGGTCTTTCAAAACTAAGGCATTAAAAAAAGTCTCACATTTAATAGGATTCATATGTCAATTTAAGACATCCAACTGGTTTCATCATTTGGGCTACTGGTTTTCTTCATCTTTTCAGAAGACTTCTAAACTGCGTTTATCTTTTGGCAGCTGAGAAATTGCTCAATACAATACCACAAGCCACAAAGCTCTTTCTGGTTAGGAACCACAACTATGACATGTTGTTCTATGTGCCTAAAACTATAATAAACATTTATGTTCACTTTTAAAGTTGATTTTTGTATAAAGTGGACCTTTGTGAGTGAATTTATACTAGAAATGGCTAGGAAGCCTACCTTAAAGCCCTACCAGGGGAGTCAAAGAATTTTCAGAAAAGTTTTTTAAACTATTTTACTAATACTCTTGGCCTTTCAAGTAGCACGAAGAAAAAAACTAGTTATAACTTAGATGCTTGTTGTTGAGTCATTTTTCAGTCATGTCCGACTCTTCATGACCCCATTTGGGGTTTTCACGCCAAAGATACTGGAGTGGTTTGCCATTGCCTTCTCCAGATCATTTTACAGATAAGGAAACTGAAGCAAACAGGGTGAAGTGACTTGCCCAGAGTCACACAGCTGATAAATGTCTGAGGCCACATTTGAACGCAGGAAGAGGAGTCTTCCTGATTCCAATCCCAGTACCCTATCGGCTGCACCACCTAGCTGCTCCAACAAATTTGACAGTTGAAGCAGCAGCTCTGAAAATAATTAGGATCACACAATCTTTTCTAATTGCCATCAGCAATCAATTAAATATTTATTGAGCAGAGGATTTGAGAATGGGGTGAAGGTTGCTTAAGGGCCAATTATCTTTCAATAGGGACAGCTGAATTTCAGGGCTAGTGGACCATAATACACAAAGGCCCAGGGGGTTTTGGCTATGAATTACTACTAGATATGCAATAAAAGACCTCTCTGCACTTATCAAACACTTGAAAATTCAGAAAGCAAAAAGAAGTAGTGCTTTTTTTTAATCATCTATCAATTTGCTTTAGTTTGAAACATACAGAGCATAAATCCAATTCCACTCTTGAAAACTCAGTAGCTGAAACTTGGTATCTGGGTCTCGAGGAGGCCTTGTCTGTAATGAAGAAAACTTCAGAATTCCTACAAGACAGTCACCAAAAGGCTGGAAGCCTCATCATTTTCACGTTAGCAGACATCCATGACAGGGACTAAGTCCTTGTCGCGGCCCAGCCCAAACTGAATTAGGGAAGGGCCAGGCTTCTTTTCTTCCCAGATGATAACCCTATGGACACAATAAGCAGAGAGATTTTATAAGAATTGAGAACCTGACTAGAATACATTCTACCACCTGGCTAAATCTGCCTGATCTACACTAACCAGGGCATCTGGACAGCCTTAAAGACTTCCAAGAAGGAAGGGATCGTCTATACCTGACCTACAACCAAATTACATCTTTTAAAAAATAGGTGAGAAGAGTTATGTAAATGAATTTGTATAGGAATAGGAATATTGTGAAAGCTACCTTTCTGACTGAGAGATTTACCAGACATACCCCAGGATCTTAATTTAGCACAAGAAGTACCAAAGCTTGAAGCAATATAATGTGACATTTGAAACATAAATGATTGAATATATAGATATTTTAATTAAATAACCCTTGGAATTAAGACCAAATGATCTTAATATATATTATGTGAGAGAAGAGGTGCTAAAGTAAAGGATATTTTCACCATAGCTGTGTGCTACTTAGTTTTAATGATCACTTTTTAAAAGAAATCATATAGGGGCAGGTAGGTGGGGCAGTGGATAGAGCACCGGCCCTGGATTCAGGAGGACCTGAGTTCAAATCTGGCCTCAGACACATAACGCTCACTAGCTGTGTGACTCTGGGCAAGTCACTTAACCCCAATTGACTCACCAGAGAAAAAACAAAACAAAGAAATCATATAATACCACTGGAAGCCAAGAGTTTTAAACTTTCTTTAAAATATATGTAACATATACACACACATACATATACTTTTTCCATTTTATGACACTTAAGATTTCAGTAGTCAGTTCAACACTCCAAGTGGAAAAGATAAAGAGTTAAGGAGTGAGTACAACCAGACCCCCTTCTCATGCTTCAGGATAAAAATGCAAAACAAATTTTTAACTTAAAAAAAAGTCATGCTAAAAAGTCTCTTTCGTCCTGGTTCCCATAGTTTCTTCCTCTTTGCTAAGGATATAATAATGACTTCTTTAAACTGTGAGGGGTAATTTTCAATTATCAGGAGATATTTTCTAGAATAGGCTATGTTCCTGTCACCACTGATAGTGTTTTTTCCACTTGACTAATCTGGAATTCTTCAGGAGCTACGTATTAAATCTCCAAATTCAAGCCATGAAACAACAGTAAGACCACTAAAACTCAATTTGCTTTCAGGCCTTATTAAGCGTGGGGTTGGGATGGGGGTGAATTCCTACAAAACCTGGTCTTTGGTATTTGGGGTTTTTGGTTTTTTTTACCTCAACCCTATTTCAAATTCAAACGTCACAAATGCTCAAAATTTGCGTTACTATCCAGTTGTTTCAGTCATAACCGATTCTTCATGACCCCATTTGGGATTTCCTTGGCAGAGATGCTGGTGTGGTTTGCCATTTCCTTCTCCAGCTCATTTTACAGATGAGGAAACTAAGGCACACAGGGTGAAGTGACTTGCCCAAGGTCACACAGCTAGTGTCTGAGACCACATTTGAACTCGGGTCTTCCTGACTCCAGGCCTGGCATTCTATCCACTTCACAACCTACCCACCCTTAAATTCGGGTCATTAGGGCTAAAGGTTAAGAATGAATGTCCTTTTGATAAAAGATTCATGATGTACCTAATTAAGCAGAAAAATTACATATTTGCCAAATGGGATTAAAAAAAAATGTGGCAGTTATATGGGGAAAATGAGTACAACTACATTAAGAAATGAATGTGAGAAAAAAATTATGTCAGCAGTAATTCATGTTTCTTAAATATCAAATCATTAAACAATACCATGGATATATCACTAAATGCCCAAAGGTATTATCGTCTCATCAAAATTACTCCAGTTTCTAAGTATTCTTGATTTTTGACTAGGTCTTCTAAGGCCTACAGTTTGATAGGGGCCTTTAGAGAATAGACCTCACCAAGCAGGACAGCCTGTAATACAAATTACCCTGATATATTAGGGAGGACAGTTATTGAGGCTTTGTCATTCTTCTATGGCTTTAACAAAAATATGTAACTTCACTTAAAATTATTTACCACAATATTTCAATTAAGAAACCTTTAAAAAGAGATAAAGCTTAGAATCTTTACAATTTGATCACTTCACAGTGATCGATATGATATCTGTATATACTGAATCTCCACTTAAGGCATGATTTTTAATCTGGGGTCCCTGAACTTGATTTTAAAAAATATTTTCTTAAGAGTATTTCAATATAATTGGTTTCTTTTGTAATTCTATATATTTTATTTTGTGTACTAAAACACAGTATTCTGAGAACGGGACCATAGGCTTCCCCAGATTGCCAAGTCTGATGCTATGGCAATAACGCTATCCTTGAGTTCTCAAAGGCTATTTCTGAGGACCACAAACCCTGACACATCCTCCCAAACTAGAAAAGCTTCAAGTATAGCACAAATATGGACTGTGTATCTGTCCTCTGAGAACCACCCTACTGATGTTCCAGGAGGCTAATCATTTAGGCTGGTCACAAGGGATGGATTGTTTAACCACAGTAATGAGGTAGCTGGGTGGTACAGTGGATAGAGTGCTGTACTCACAGTCAAAACAACTTGAGTTTAAAAGACACTGCCTAGCTGTGTGACCCTGGACAAATCATTTAACCACTCTGGCTCAGTTTCCCCAGCTATAAAATGGGAATTATAACAGCACCTACTTCCCAGGATTGCTGTGAGGATCAAATGAGATAACATGTAAAGTGTTTTGCAAACCTTAACACATTGTGTAAATGTTAGCTATTATTATTACTACTACTACTTTGTAGAGAGGAGTTCCCATGCTACCAAAATCATAGACTCTTAGAGGAAGTAAGTACATAATTCAAAAAACAACTTGCTTTCACAAAATCTGGATTAAAAGAAACCTCAAAAACATTCTATGCTAACCCATACCTAACCATTCTACACTACATTTGGCAAGTGTTCATCTAGCTTTGGCTTGATGTTAAGGAGAAATCAACTTCTTCCCAAATCCGCCTATTCCATGACTGAAAAGCTCTGATACAAATTAAGTCTAAATTTAATTCTCTGGAAATCTAATCTCTCTCCCTCATGACAACCATTCAAATATCTGAAAGTCATCATACCCTCAACCCCCTCCCTCCCTAGAAGGCTTCCCTTCCTGTCTATACCCAATTCATCAATCTCCAGCTTTAAAATGTGGGCCCCAGAACTGAGTACAAAACTCCTGAGGTGGTGTGACCATGGCAAAGTACATTCGGGCTAGTCCTCAATATTGACGCCTCTCAGCTTAAACTGGCTCCATTGGCTGCTGAGTGCCTGAGATTTCTTGCTTCCCCTTTCACTCTACTGATTGCCTCATTACAGAGTAACCCACTAAAACCCAAAGGTCTTTTTTTCAGATGAAATTCTGCCCTCTACCCTTACTGGCTCCTCATGAAGCTAATTTTTTAAAACCCGAGTAATAACTCTTAACATTTACCCCTACTAAACTTCATCTTATTAGATTTGGTCAAATGCTCATAAGTGTTCAGATCTCTTTTAAGCCTACCAGTTCTTGAATCCTACCAGCTGTGTGTTAGATTTAATAAGCATGACATCTGAGCCTTTCTCCAAATCAATGCAAAACATGTTGAACAGCACAGGGCAAGCACAGATACTTAAGATACTCCGCTGAAGATCTCCTTCCAAAATGACACCGAACCATTAATCAGTCCTGGGTTCACCACTTCAACTGGTTCATAATCCATCTAATTATACCATTGGGTGGCCGAGTGGATAGAGCACTGGCCCTGAAGTCAGGACGACCAGAATTCAAATCCAGGCTCAGACACATAACACTTACTAGCTGTGTGACTCTGGGCAAGTCACTTAATGCCAACTGCCTCACCAAAAAACCAAAAACAAAATCAAACAATCAAATAATTATACTATTGTGTAGTTATGTTTCTGCTGCTTTTCCACAAGAAAAAGGAGAGGCTTCATCAAATGTTTTGCTAAGACTAAGTAAACTGTATCTATAACAAAGCCCCAGGTCTATCAATCTAGTAATCCTGCCCAAAAAAGAAATAAGAGTATTCTGGAATGACCTATTCTTGAAGAAACCACACTGACCCTTGGTGATTACTGCTATTAAAATGTTCACTAACCCTACCTTTAGTAACACATATTAGACTTCTCAATTACCAAAGTCTCTTACTGGATCACAGATTTTAGATTTTATTTCCTTCCTTCAAAAAAAAATTAGACTATTACCCTTCTCTAATCCTTCACTGCCTCTCCAATTCTACATAACCTTTCAGAGATCACTGACAGAAGCTGACTCAACATAAAGGAAAAAGCTTCCATACTTTCAGTGAAAAGTAGAACCCAAAAAACAGCCACAGTAGATGACACTACACTGGTATCCAAAAGGCTTACCCCATGTTGAGACACTAGGTTTAATGGGCAAATAAAATAAGGTAACACAATTCAAAAAGACTGTCAGCACTGAAGAGATGATTCCCCTTTCCTTTAAACATTTATCCCAAACCATGCCATATAATATTGAAAAGTGTGACAGTCACAACCTTAAACATTTACAATTCTTTATTTACATCGACTTTAAAAAAAAACCATATTCCTTTCAAACTTGCTGAGCTGGGAAGGGAGGGACGTGGTCAACAAGGCATCAAAAGCTCCATGTAGGTTTACCTCATTACAAACCAATCATTTATCCAAACAAATATATATTGAGGGTCTATCGTGCCTAAAGTCTACAACTCCTAAGCACATTTCCAATAAGAAAGAGGAAATGAAAAGGATTCTGATTGTACAGTGCCTTTCACTTGAAAATCACTGAGCACCTTAATCATTCCAGTTATCTATGGTAGCACTTTTCTTATCACTCAGACATCCATCATCCTTAAGCAGAAGAGGAGAACCCCATCTCCCAAAGAACACAAAAACACCTCTGAGCACTAGCACTGACAAAAACAGCCAAGGAGCTGATGGTGTGAAGTGATTCTGGTTAATAAGCCACTAACGAGCTAAGTCAATGACACCTCAAAGTCAACATATT